ACAATAAATAAGATTTCACTACGATTGAATTTTCTATTAGTAACAGGGTAGTTATAGTGAATGTTTTATTCGATAACTAAAACTATATTTGATGTTTGTAGCGATAAAAATATGCCTAAATCAGCCAAATACCCTATGTGGGTCGGCTGAATCAGTAAAACGTGACAGTAGTTGACTTTTGAGGTTAATATATCGGTCTTGAGTTGGTAAGGTTTTTAAAACATCCGCAGCTTCCTTTACAGCATCGCTGCTAATTGCTGAGAGGACCAGATTATATTTACCGACATAAGATGTGGTCTTGTACGACTGAAAGGTGGCCTCAATTTGTAGAAACCATTTGTCTGGCATCTCAGTTCAGAACGGTCGCAGCTTGCATTGCGATGCAAGCTCCACATCTTTAGTTGGCATTTTGTTCGATGAAATATTCTCCCCATCCGTCGATGCGCCCTTTTGTCGATTCCGTCATGTAACGACTCGGGGTCACCACTAATTTTTTGGTTTTGGAAGTTTGACTATAATTATAGGACATTGTGTTTAATAAACTAAATTACCATTTATTGCATAAGTACTACGTTATATAAACTACTTTCGCGAATTTAGCTTATCATAATATACCGTTTGTAACTATTTATATGCAAAATTTTATATGAAAAATAGTACCAAATTTCGAACTACTTCGCAAAGCGGGCTTTTTTTCTTCCCGTTTCTCTCGTGCTCCCATATTACAACCTTTTGTAAGGGAGCTGTAGACATGAGCTGTCACTACGTACAACACCTTGTATAATTCCACCATGTTCATCGACAACGCCGTTGTTTGCTTCCCTTTGCTTCTTATTATGGTGTATTCTCTTCGCCAAGTTCCAAGCATAGTTTGTAGCGATTTCAATTAGAAAGCAAATCGCGCTAAGCAACATTCCAAATCCGAAAATACCCAACGCGTAGCGACACTCTGTGATACCGATCGAAACAAAACCGCCAACGCCGCCCTCACACTTGGGCTTTTGAGGAAACCACTTGAGCTCTTCGCGATTCATCAAACCCACTTCGCGTTGCCAACGCAATCTACAGCCGCGTAAGGGTCAGAAAAAAATGGTGTACTTAGAAAATATATGTAGAAAATAGTTTGAAATAACGCACTGCCTGCGGAAAAGTTCCTTATATGGAAAATTCTTCCTTGTCGGTATGGCGATCATTGGTAGCTGAAAGGGCTCGAGCTCCTTGAGTCCACACTTCTCTGGCTCGCTAAATGTGTTGCTGATAATTTGGTAGCCAGCCTGCAGTTCTACTTGGTAGGCGAAGAGTCCTGTGCGCATTTTTTCCATACCAACTGTGGGACGCATAAAAATATTATCACCCTTTGGTGCAATTTTCTTGTGGTACAAGTGATTTGTGACAGGATCAGTAGATTCCTAAAATCAGAGAAAAGTTATCGAATGAAAGAAATACGTTTTATATCTCCGATTTAACACACATTGAAGTAAATTTTATTATAAACAGTATCCTGCACTCCAATCTCTAACGGTGATTGCGCTAAATCGCTCAAAGTTTGTATTGCCTCCGAAGGAGATTGCAGCAATGCAACAATATTCGCCGAAAATGATGTGTACAAGAAGAGCGTTGACACAAATGTTGTAAAAACGATGACACGCGCTGATCGATTGAAGATATTCGCATAGAAACCCTGCTGACACATTGCACCCCAAACGAAGACCACACAATCGAGTATGCCAATCTCATGCGATTCCGGTGAGTACAATAGCTCTACCATGAATATGCCTATGGTGAAGATCATTAGCAGCAGTATGGATATCCAAACATCGCGTGCGAAAGGCATGGCAAAGATGTTAGCCACTGCGGATAGTGGCGGTTGGCGGAACATTATGCCAGCGCGTATGCGAAAAGTTTCCGCTACAAAGTCAACCAATGCAATGCGATCTAGACGCATGAAAATGGCCATTTGTCCGAAATCGAGTTCGTAGCGTTGGAAGCGACCCATGAGGCCATCGAAGGAGCCGTTCGGTTGGTGCCAGCCATAATTGTCCACCTGATGGGTGTTGAAGCTAAAGAAAATTGGAGAAAGAAGTATTAGAAATGAAGCAGCTTAATAAAACCGAGACTACAAGAAAATTTACTCCACCACAATGAGGAAGAAGAAAAATAACTAATATGGAAACATAAAGCAAAATGAAGATTTTGCCGTGATTATCAAAGATAGAAAAAAACGGAAGAAAAACGAATCAAGCGAAAAAGCAAGGTAATGATAAAATAGAAGAAAAAATTATACAAAATATGAAAATAAAAAGCAGAAGAAGCGTCTAAACTAATCCCACATGATCTTACAAGAATAAATCGTAAAAACCATAAGCTGGTATCAAATTATTGCCCCGTGAAATATGCACCGCCAGGATTTGCACAATTCTTCATAGCTGAATTGCTGAATATTTTAACTGCATTACCAACGTACCTAGAATCGCGGTGACAAGAACTGGTAACAATTTTTGGTAATACAATTTTCCGGTTACAAAATCTTCGGTAATGTGCAGAATAGACCTGTTAGAGAGGAGTAAAACACTCCCTTATGGCATAGACAGACGGCAACTTTAATCCGAATTAAAGGCGCAGTTGGTTGGTTCAAAATTTTACCCTGGCATATGACAGTCAATTGCGGATTAAGCGAGCCGCGAGATCGTAGTTTCGAATCGCACGGCCAGCAAAATTTAAATTTGAACTTTTTAGTTCCCTCAATTATTTCTTTTATTTTTTAAGCGTAAGTACAAAGGTTTTATCATTTCTTTAATAAAATTAAACTCGAAAAAATAAAATTAACTTAAAATAATTATGTGAAATAACTAAAACAAAAAAACAATTACTAAATAGAATACTGCTACTAGTTATTATATTACTAGCTCAATTATCATTAGATAACTTATGATCTGGATTGAAAAATAGGCTTAATGCTTTCCCGGACGTAACCAAATTTAGCATACTTACTGCAGGCAAAAAAAAACCCGAGATAGGGTTGGGGCAACCTTCCAAAATTTTTCTTCTTGCTGAAAGAGGTGCTGGCAGCAAACTTTACGTTTGCAAGTATAAATTTAGATGATGCTCATGAAATGATTATATTTCACTTTCACAATTGATTCAGCAACATAAGGGCCGTTTAACTGTCTGTTAAAAATAACCGGTGTTTTGACTGATAGTCAAATTTTTCGCTCACAGGCCATCGATAAAAAGTCCAAGTAAACCAACCGGCCGTAAATTTTTAGCAGGCAGTCGCGAAAATGGCTAATGCTGTTTAAATTTAAATTAGCTGAAAAAACATTACCAGCTGCTATTGTCACGGAAACACTAGCTTTTTATAAAAATCATGAATATTTTTGTCAGTTTCAAAGGCATTCAGTTGCGCATTTTAAGTTAATTGCACACCCTGTATTGGTTACGGTAGAAAATTGAAAGTAAGTATAGATATTACAAAACCAAGGGGTGCCCCGTTTTCTACGATGACATTTCTTCCCCCCATACAAAATTTGGCCCACTCTAATGGTCATAGGCTGAAAATAATTTCGATATATCAAGGAGCGTGGCGCCTCCCATACAAATTGAAATTTTCATACTGCGTAAATATCTCTGGAAGTATTTGTGGGATTGATTTTTTTATACTACGTATCTCTGGTGAACTTGGTGTCGGGATAAATAAAATCAATTCCATACTCATGGAAGAAAATTACGGTTATTAGATAAGAGGGCTTGGTACCTCCCTTACATGCCGAGTTTTTTTTGCTAAATATCTCTGGAAGTTTTCGTGGTAGAATACTGCAACTGAGTTAGTTCATATCTCTGAAAGGCTATAAATAGAGAAAAGTTGGAGTCATTGGAAAAGGTTCGGTTGTAGCACCTATAAATGTGTGAAGTATTTAGAATTTTAACTACAGTACTGAGATGTGGTATTTTATTAATGTCAAGTTACTGAATTTAAGTTGGAAATATTAATTTAAAAAAAAAATCGCTCCTGTGTTCTAGTTCACAGTTCTGACAACTCGGCTACTACTATTTACGCCAAAGTGTTTGCCTGCTTTCCTTTTTATTACCAATAGACAACAGCTGACCGGTTTGGTTATTGCCATAAAAAGTCCCCCATTTATTTCAATAATTTAATCTAGGACTGAATCCGGATCCACTGCAGTTAACTCCAGAGATAATTCTGAATTGACGAGTTGATACGGATCAACGCTCTGCCGTCTGCCTATGCTTTGCTAATTCAGCTATCTTAGTTGGTCTCGAATTGGAAAATGTTGCAGAGAATCTGTAGGGTAATTCATATATACCCCGAAACCACGTAAACCTCTTAATCTTACTTAATTTTGTATGAAAAACTGGTTTATTTACGAGATTTACGCGGTTATGAGGCATATGCGCGTTTTAATGAATACCCATTGTACGACTTTGGAAGTTAGAAGGGATTTATTTGGCCTGTTAGGCGAATTTTGAAGTTGTGTACGCAAGCCAGAGTAATTTATGTCAAAAAAATACAAAAAAGGTGTTGAAGTACAAGTATTTCTCTTTGAAATGGCGTTGAGTTTGCTCAAATATCTTTTTGCTTCGCTGAGATATTACAATTTTAAGATTAAAAAATTCCCAAAAATTTACGGTATTTTGTAACTGCACGAAACTTGCGTTTTATACTACTATAAAACTGCGTACATCAAATTATTCTAAAAATGCTGAGTAAAAAGTGTGAAATTTGAGCAAATTTTGTTTGCATTTTTATAATTCTTGTACAAAGTTTGAAATGCGCATTTAAATGCAGTTAACTATATGGGAAGTAAGGTAGGCTTTTATAAAAAAAAATAAATACTAAATAAAGAAAATAAATATATACTAAACTGGTTGAAATAAGGCGTTTCTTTTATGTCTGCTACTACCCTGGGGGAAAATCTCTAGTTCTGAACTGGGGCGCTTATAGTACATTTAGACCCAGTACTGGTTCGCGATAAATCTCTTTTGCATGCAAGCAACTGGCGAATTTAACATGGCGATGTCCTAGGAAGTGTCAATTGCCCCCCGCTGCATCCCTTTTTCGATAGTTCCAAACTAGTCCTAAATTCTATACATCCGAACCAGTTCTAAAATCGACCGAAGGAAGAAAAAAGTATCATGATTTTTCAATCTTTTCGGTTCTTCCGTGTGCGATTTTACATTATTTTCAAAGAAAGGTTTTTTCAATTTGAAATTTAATTTGTTTGAATGATTGTAAGAAATGTACGTTTACATACCTTGCTGTAGCTGACTTTGCAGAGGTGCTCGCTGTTATTGGTTAGATTCCATACGGCCCCAAGTTGTTAATATGTTAACACAAAGCTTTGTTTTGTATTACCAAACTATGAAATAGCACAGAATAGAAGCGTATTTGAACGAAAAAGCCGCCGAACACATATCTATGTAAAGTAAACAAGCTCCCCGCTGCATCCCTTATTCGATAGTTCCGAAATAGTTCTAAATTCGACAAATAAGATCTAGTTCGTTCTGCATCCCTTTTTCTATAGTTCCGAACCATTTCTAAATTCGTCACTTTAGATATAGATTTGTAGTGAAAAAAACTGAAAAAATTTGTTTTTTAAAAGTACCACTTTTCGCCGATTTTGGACTGGTGGGGATCTAGTTCCTATGGGGCTAGTTCCTTTTTGGCGATAAAGTCCTAGTACGGAACTAGAAATTTGATTCACTAGTCCGCGGTTTCCCTGCAGGGTAGTAATATGAACTTCTTTCAGCCACACAATACATACGTTGACATAAGTTTATTTTGCACCGAGCTTTTTTCGACATGCCTTAAGTTACTTTATCAGATATGCACACGCTAAAGTATTGTCAAATGCGTATACATTTAATTATTCTGCCTTATCCTGAGTTTCACTTGAAAAAAAAAATTCACCCGAAAATTTGTCATCCGCCCATAGTAAAACCATTGAAACCAAGAGTGAAAAGTGAACCGGTTCGGGGAAAATGAAACTCATGATAAGGCTGATTGTCTTTTGTTTTGTTACTAATGAAATATTTTACAACTTAAATAATAAAGTAGGTTTCAAACCCATTTATTTATTATTTATTATGTGGTACAGCTTCTCAAACTATATTGATACAATTTGTTCATGTTAAGTTGTTGGAAAATAATAAATATCTAAATCCCGGGACTAATCCCGGGATTGTATGAATAATGTCCCGAAAATCCCGGGAACGCAAAAATCCAAAAAAATTAACATTCCTAATCTGAGAGTCAGATCCGGGCCCGAATGGCGGCACCCGTAATCGAAATAGCAGACTAGTGTGATCGAGTGCCGTAATCTGAAAGTGAAAATTTGAATCGAGCAGCCGTTCTATCACGCATGCCGCGACTCAGGCCTAGGTTTCGTTTTAAACAACCGTTAATTCACTCGACAATGTGCCTCGGCCGCGAGATAAATGCTTCAGTGATTAAATTCTTCATGCCTTCGTATGTTTCTAAGAAATCTCAACATCTCCGAAACTTACCGCATATTTAATTTGTTGGCCAACTCGATGGTGAGCCGGTTGTTTACTTTCGAAATAGTGTCGATATGCCGCAATGATATATCTTCGATATTCGTAAACAAATCGGGAAAAGCAATAACAAGTCCCGTTTTAAAGGTGATACCCTCCAAGTTTTGGCGATAGGAAATGGCTGAACCAAATTTTTGAAGCGCCTCCAATAAATCGTTGACATCGCGCATTTGTGGCACACCCATTTTAGCATATTTCAAACGCTTTTCTGCGGCAACTTTATACACATCGAGCATCGCGAAGGATTGCGTTGCTGGCTGCCGCACCATAACCCGCACCTCACCATCAGGTGGCAGAAATATTTCCTCATCATCGAGTAGTGAAATATGTGCCTCATCAGCGGTGAGTAGCAACCAAAAGCGATTTGTGGTGAAGTAGTTGTTTTCGGAGGCAGCGGACCAGCGTAGCACATTAAGCGCACAGGCGTTGGCGAATTGCAATAACAGAATGCCGGATTTATAGGTGAATGGCGGCAGAGGCAAGCGCAATGGACGACGTGTACTATTATCGCTTCGAAATGTGCGCGGTGGACCAAATGCAGCAGAGCCTTCAGTGGTTGGACCGTTCGGAGTAGCCTTAGTTAGTATGTTGGACCGATAGAGCCGCCAAATTTGCTCGCTGTCGTCATAGTCCTGGCCATTGAAAATACGCGTTGGAAATCCATTGGCAATAAATTCGAATAACAGAGACTTCAAGTTTTGGTACCCAGCGGGAGTGACTGCAATGATGGAAGTAACGAAAGCAGTTTTTTTTTTAATGTCGCATCCAATGCATTTGTATTCATGTTTGTTTTCGATTTAAAATACTAGAATGAAAATTTATGACCGCCAAGTGTTCAATGGCTCAGCTATTGCTTTATGAGCGCGCTTCTTACCAGTGTTGCCAGAACTTTTTGGACGAACCGGCTAAATTGGCAAAAAAAAAACCGGCTAAAAACGGCTAAACTGTTTCAACTAAATTTCACATGTTTTATTTAAATAAATCATAAGTAGAAAGACTAGTTCTTCGAGAGAAGTTGCAAATTCATGCTGGAAAAAATTTTGCCAGCAAGAATTTGCAATTAGGAAAAACATGTGATTGATTTTTTTTTTATTGGATTTTTTGTCGAAGATAATTTTAATAAACAGGTTCGTCAAATTTAAAAATTTACAAACTTGAGCGATTTTAAAATGAAAAATTTAAGTAAATACTTGTTTACTTAATTAATTCCAATGATTTAAAACGTACTCGGAATGCAGTCTCAACCAGAGTCGATATAGGAAACGCGACAGTTAGCACGGCAAAGAAATTCAAACGTATGTTGAAGAAAGTCGGACTAGCAAGAATCCTAGATCCTGTTTTTTGCCCCTCTGAAATAATTTTAAAATTCTATGCAAATTTTTTTATGTTTGAAATGCAACCGTTGACACTAGCCGGCAGGGAAACTTGCAAGTTCCCTCAAATTTGCGTTGTGCAGAAATTTGCAAGTTTCTCTCCTTGAGAGAGAATTTGGGAGCATTTTTTCTTACTAACTGATATTTTGAGTGATAATTTTCGCTGCATTTTCGACGAACAAACCTATTGTCTTCCCAGAGAGTTTTGCATTACATAGAAATTTGTGCTCTTTTAGCTTCATTTTGACGCATTTCAGTATTGGTTCTTTAAATTCAAGTGAAAACATATACGTATATTTGAATTTTAAGAAAGCAAGGTAAATGGCAAAATCGGCAAAAAACGGCTAATTTTTTTTTTACAAAACGGCTAACAAATCGGCTTCCGGCTAAACCGAAATTTCTCCGGCTGTTTGCTATCGCATCCGGCTAAATCTAGCCGGAAAACGGCTAAAATGGCAACACTGCTTCTTACATATGTACACATTTCTCCCGCGCCATTATTTTCCATGCTTACCAACATCCTCTGGACAGACAACCAACAGTATATTGTGTACTCCATGCCAGCGAAAATATTCCATGAAAATATGCGCGTCGTATTTTAGCGTGGCGGCATCGGCTGTAGATCGTTCTTCCGCTGTTAAATTGGCCGGGCGTGTTGCGCTTGCCAATTCAAGGGCCGTTGCTTGGTGAGGAGCGGCGGCGATTGGAAATATGTAGTAAATTAGTAGCATGAAAAGCCTTTTGCAATTCAACAGCTCCATATTCGTTCTACCAGTTGCAAGTGTTGCAGTATTCGCGTGCGCTTTTTATTCGTTTTATTTTCTCTTCGAATCACTGACCCATTTTAAGGGCCTAGTTTATGCGATTATGGCAACCAGGTCGTGCAGTTGTTGCATTTTATAGCGCTTCAGATGCAGGTAGATCCTTTGTGGGCGCTTAAAATTTGTGTATATGTATTGGTTAATGCTTCTTCTCTTGCGTTTTTCATAGTACGTTCTTGAGCTTATTATTCCAATTATAAAATGTTGTACAAAATTGGACGTGTTGAGTCGCTCGTTAAAGGAAATTGCAGGCAATTTTGTGGAAAATTAGAGTATGTGATTTATGTGTAAAAACTGCGTATATTCTTTAACCCCTTCAGAACCAAGGCAAACATGTTTCTCAAATAGCTCTATACTCGTAAGAATATTGTGTGCACTTGGCGCTTTTTGTTTTTATCGTTTATAACTTTATCTTAAAATTTTAGGAAAAATATTAAAAAAGTACCAAAGATTGGTAAATACATACATAATATTTTCACCATTTTTTTTTTTTATAAAATATTTTTTCAGGCATTCCAGGAAAAATACTTAAAAAATATATGATAAATTTTTACCATTTTTTTACCATTTATTAGAAAAAATTATTTTCTGAAAATGTTAAAGGCGTTCAGCTTTAAGTATGAACTTCTATATCTTTGGAAATACTACAATATAACCTATTAAGAAAGTTTTAAATTAAACCAATTATAATTTGTCTTTTCAACGTCGGATTGTCTTTCCATTTCTCTTCTTCCTTCGCTTGACATTGAATATTTAATTGAAACTACATAGAAGATACCAGATCTTTTTGTATGACGAAAGATATGCAAGTATGTATATTATTTTTGGAAGCCATGTGCGTTTTGATAATTGATTGATATCGGGACCTACCTCTGGAAAATTTCTAGAATTTTCGAATTGCGATTGAATATTTAGTGTCGCGCCCATCGCTAGTGCGAACCTCTCAATCACCACGCACATACATATGTTACGAATTAGATCGTTTATGAATGAAATACTAATTTATATCCCGATAACTATATAAACAAAAACTATCGATATCAATTTTTCATTGACGACAAATATTTAAAAATCGATAAACATGTTGATATCAATAACAATGTTGATAAAAACTAATATAATGCCAGTTTCATCGTTAAATTGACGAACATGTGCTCATCAGTATAAAGTAAATAAATTTATCGATAATTCCGATAAACGTATAAAGTTAAATAAATAAGTTTATCGATAAATCAGATAAACATATACAAATGTTTGTGTATTGATAACGATATTGTCAAAAATGCCATAATAATAATCTCTGATAAATTTATCGATTGATACTTACAACAAACTTTTTCAAAAATCTTGCATTTTTCATTCTATCATTGATACCATAGATATAATGTAGCATCAATCTACATTCGATGCGAATATACTTTCCACCAAAACCTCGGTATTTGAGGCATATTCACGCTCTCTTCTTAAACGACTTCCAAAAGGAGGAGGTTATCAGTTCGTCGGAAAATTTTTATTTTTTATTTTTATTACAAGCTTTTATTTAACTTCACTTGTATGTATGTATGTATGTATGTCCTGGAACTTTGCAGTCAATATTTAACAAACTTCCCGATGAGCTACAGACTTGAAACTTCAAACTTAGCTCAGAACTCGAGGACAATACAATTTAAAATATGTTTTAATCCGCTAGGTGGCGCAGGAGTCGAGATATTTGTAAAACCCGCATTTATGGTCTGATTTGGTTCGTATTTAGAACATTTATTACGTATATGAAAAGAAATTAATCCGAAAAAAATTTTGCCGATAGGTGGCGCAGGAGTCGAGATATTTGGAAAACCCGTATTTATGATCCGATGTGGTTCATATTTAGAACATATATGACTTATATGAAAATAAATAAATCCACAAAAAATTTTGCCGACAGGTGGCGCAGGAGTCGAGATATTTGGAAAACCCGTATTTATGATCCGATTAAGTTCACATTTAGAATGCATATTGCTTACATGAAAAGAAATAACTACACAAAAAATTTTGGCAGTTATGTGGCGCGTGAGTCTATATAATTAAAAATTCGGCATCTGTGCTCAAATTTGGTTTATATTCAGAATAGGTGTATTATCTATTTAAATTGAAATATATTGAAAATTTTGTTTGTTAAGTCAAATTTAGTATAATATTAACTGCAAGATTTCAAAAGACTAAAAAGTAGAAAATAAT